CCCCCCCCCTCCTTTTATCATCGGGTGATACAGCATCTGCCCTGTGGGTATCGCACACTCACACAACATCTGCGCGGGGGGAACACCCCCAAAGGAGACCCAACAAAATGAACGTGCAGGGAGAGCAGAATGCCGCCGCAAGTTCCTCCGCTTCTTCCACAACTGCTTCGACCGCGGCCGCCCAAACGCCACATATCACCTCGTTCTTCCAACGCGAGCACACTTGCTCTACGCAAGCGGCTCCTGCTACGGCTCGTCCTCCTGCTGCTGATGATCTAGCAGCAGCAGCTGGCACAGCTACAGGCGCCAACATGGCAGCCACCGCATCGCCTTACAAGCAGTGTTATCACACCCCATTTTTAGCAGACACAACCATCACCGCACCCCCATACACACCCTGTGGGTGTTCGGACGTGCTATCACACACCCCGGTTTATCACACCCCCTAAGGCACGGCACGAGCTGCACCTTATCACCCAGCACACACCCCAGGATACCACACCCGGTGATTACATTTTTAAAGCTCAAAATGTCATCACCGGGGTGTGTTCATCTTGTGTCGTCTACGGTATACATACTCCCTTTCTTCCCCTCGCTGCCTCGGCAAGGTTTTGCGTAGGCATGACCCTTAGCGAGGGGGGGGGTCTTTCTAGCGAGCAGGGCTAGACTCACCCTCAAGGGACCGATACCTTCTTGCTGCGGCGCACCCGCCGCGAGGCGTGCGTAGTGGTGGAGTTGGGTCGGCACTGGTGCGTCAGGTACAAAGGTGCAGATGCGCGGGCCTCCAGGCCGTCGGTGTAGGCAGCAATGCCCATCTCATGTTTGTGCGCGGAGGCAGACGTCATCAGAAAGGTGGACGGGCACTATGTACACGGCCCTAGGTTTGCTAGAGGGAGCTGTACTGTCTAAGTAACCTGGTTTTGCCATCAAAGGAGGAGAGGACAGGTGGTGACGAGCTGATTGGGCTGGTTGATCCTTCGGCACGAGAATTGTTAGACCAAGAACCCTTAGTGCAATGAGGGAGAAAGCGAGGAACCATCTGGAATGGACAGCAACGAGAGCGAGTACGAAGCGGAGCGGGTCGAGTTTGGTCGTGGTAGGACTGGCCACAGCGGCACCGGAGCAGGCGGACGGCATCGAACCGTGGCGCACGGACAAATATCTCTTGAGTTGTCAATTATTTCTCCGTTTTTTTCCTGAATACAGATGTTGGGTGTGTGTGATGACGTCACTGGTATTGTAGAGGGACGCGGCAGAAATGGCGCGGATAACCCGGGTGCCTTAATTGTGTACCTGCATCGTGGAAGCCCCCTTCAATGTGGAACGATTCCTAGTCAGTGTCGATGTTTGCACTGCTGTGCCTAACACAGATGATCTGGATAGATTCGGGTGATTGCCAATTGCAATGATGGCTTTGGTTGGGTGTTCTTCTTCATTGTATGTCCACGGACTCATTCTGACAGCAATTCAGACAGCAGCTGCATTCCCCGAGCTTGTGTACCATGCACCATGCATGGTGTTATTTTTGCACAGACAGCACTTCAGACAGCAGTATGCTGTAGTCGACAAACATTCATTTTGGTCAAATGCGGACCAAGGGGGGTGATGCTGCTGCTGTAGTCGAATTGTAGTGTGTGGGCGTGTGGTTCAGTTGTGAGCATGCAAACGTGCTGCAGGGATTGCAGGTGTACCTCCTCGGGCTTGCGTACCCTTCTCTTGCTAATAATGTGGGTGTTCTTGAGATCTTCTAATGGCTCTAGCATTTTTGTGAACCACGGGACCGAGTCTTCGCTAGATTTTGGGATTAGCAACTGACACGAGTTTGATGTGAAGAAAAACAACAAACAACAATACTTTCAATAGTCGTGGGAGAAAAGTCTCGTATAGAAGCCAACGGTCACTTGTCACGTACCGCACACACAAAGCAACAGCAGTCAACACAAGACCACACACCACCCCCCGCTGTCGGAAAGTTTACGATTGCGCCGCCTCGGTACACAGCTGTGCTCTTCGACTTTTGACCCGCACCCAAAAACTTCCCTCCTTAACTCCTTACCTGGGAGATCGCTTCGAAAGCAGATTCTCAAGCTCTCGCAAGGTGCCAACAAGTTCTTCGTCATGCTGGAGCGTGTAGGTGTGAGCGTCCAGGACACCGCTCAAAAACGTGGCTCGCATCTATATGTCTACCACAGGGGAGACTATTTTTTTATTTTTGCGGATCAAAAAAGCCTCGAGAACCTTGCAAATCTCTGCTTCTGGAACAATCGAAGGTTCGAAGGTTTCAGCGGAGGTTTACCAGTCGAGAGCATTCAACAGCAGTTCTAGTCCAACAACGTCCCCACCTTACACACAACAATCACTGAGAGAAGGAAAGAGAAACAAAACCCTTGCACAGCATCCACAAAACCAGATGGGGAAGAACTACTACGAAGTGTTGGGGCTGCCCAAGGGCACCTCGGATGCCGCGAAGATCAAGAAGGCCTACCGGAAGCTCGCTCTCCAGTTTCATCCAGACAAGCCAACCGGCGACACAGCCAAGTTCCAAGGTAAGTACAATACCCGAACTTGCTGTATGCAAGCACGTCGTTTCTGTCCGAGCTACTGGAGGTTTGGATGCTCGTCACGGTACATAGTGCCCTGTGCGACCAAAGGGCGGTGGACCTTTTCTTTCTCTCGAGCCTCCGTGCGCGTTGCTCGCTTGGTGTGGCACATCAGGAGGTTTCCTTCGTACAGCAGTACTTTGTTTGCACGTCTCCCTTCTAGAAAATCCTTTGATTTCCATTGTACAAAACTAACCGAGTCGACCTCCCGCCGTTGTTCCCTGCTTGCCTTTCTTCCCGTGGTCACACCTTAGAAATCAGCGAGGCCTTCGAAGTGTTGAGCGACGACAAGAAGAAGAAGCTGTATGACCAGTTCGGTGAGGCTGGCCTAGGTGCTGGCGTTGGCGGGGGAGGCGGAGGGTCTCCGGAGGAAAGCGGTATGCCCTTCACGCGGTCGCGCGGAGCCTCGCCGTTCGGCGGCGGTGGGGGAGGGACTCACCAGACCTTTTCGTTCAGCACGGGCGGCGGCGGCGGCGGAGGGTTCCAAGGGAGCGACCCTTTCAGCATTTTCGAGTCCATGTTCGGGACCGGAGACATCAACGAAGGTATGGGTGCTGATGTTGCTCGTTGTCAGGCTCGAGTGCGTGCTGTTGGATAGCTTCGTGCGCCCGGCGCAGTTTTAGACGGCGACAAACAAGAACCGCGCGGCGAGTTTTGCCGGGAACGATCAAATAGAGAAAAACACCGTCGGGTGTAATGTCCCGCATCTGCGATGTTCTTGAGCGTGAGCTCTGATGTGATGCACGGGGTGGTGGTGTGATAGCCTGGAGGTGTGACAGCCTGGCAGCGTGATAGCTGGTGGGTGTGTAGTATGGACACAGGCGTTATAGCCCAGGGCGTGGTAGCCTGGAAAAAGGAAGGGCACGTGGCCAACACCGTGCCAGATACGCATACCCACAGACAAGAACAATGATTGGGAAGCATGTGACGAAGACGGAACCACCATTCCCCTACATTCTCCCAATTAATCACAACGCCGAACCCCAAAATTCCCCGCTCCATCTTTTCGGGACGATCCTCGGTTGCAATACTCTTTCAATTCTGTGAGTACATCCAACACGTGCGTTGCTTCAATAAAAACGTTCCCGCTAGTTGATGTCAATTCTGTCTTGTTTTTTCTCTTCTCCCGCCACCCACGGAGAATACTGTAGCGGGTGTGCCTTAGGACGTGTTCCACTTGAAATGCTGCGATACGTCAGGCACGCACTCGGTGGCGGCTGTGAATACGTCGTGCGTTTGGTCGGGACCTCCGTCTTGCATGCTTCTACCCAACGCGCTGTTCGCGCTGTTTAGCTCTGTTCAAACAGAGCCAGCACGCGTCATCATGATCATTTCTGTTTCTCCTCGCTACACCTGCAGGCCACACATGCCTTTGAAGTTATTTAATGAAGTTACGAAACTGCCAAGCGACACAATCGCAGCCGCTGTTGCTCTGAGTCTAAGGAGTGCGAGCACTCAATGCTGCTGTACTTCAAATCATACCATAAACTGTGCTAGCACATCCACAAGCTGTAAAAGGCTAAGTAGGGGGTACTATGGTCTCTACCCGTCATGCGTTAGGCGAAAGTGTAGGAGGGGGACACTTGATGTCCTCCTCTCCAACAGACATATTGTATTGAGTACGGTGTAAGTCTGAGGAGGGGTGAGGGGGGCAGACAAATGCTCGAGGTTGTAGTACCCACAAGTTCGAGAGCTTAAACTCCGGAGAAGCACTCTAACGGTGCAAAAATTCCCCGATGTTCCATGGGATTAACATCTATACTTCAGGCAACCGGCCGACTGCCTTGTCGCCAACGTCGCGCTCTGTGTGTAGTAAGCCGTTGCTTTTTACCGGTACTTGCGCAACGCGAGGTCAACACATTCAGGCAACCCGGTGTGTTCCAATCCCCTTGTTGTGTTGATGTTAGTGCTGCTCTGCTCTGTTTCGTCTTTTCGTTGTTGTGGCTGTCGTAAATTCTGATCAGCTTCTCTGGTCCGCCACATTTTTTTTTCCCTGTCCGCCCCTCCCTCCCAATGCAAATCTCGCCCCATTTCAGTGAAAGTTCATGTTCCGTGACATACTACTAACCGACACATTTACACCTACAGCTGTAACATTTCCCCGCAAACGAAAATCGACCATACAAATCTCAGCCGTCGGCCGCGAGGGTTTCCCGATGGGGGCGGGCTTGAACGGGATACGAATGGGCGGCATGGGTGGCGGCTTCGGTGGAGGCATGCCGGCGGTAGGCTCTCCTTCCTCGTCGAAGGCGGCTAGGCGCCAGGCCCCGCCGGTGGAACACTGCCTGAACCTGTCGCTGGAGGAGCTGTACCAGGGGTCCTCGAAGCGGATGAGAATCACCAAGAAGGTGAGAGATGTGAGTGATGTGGCGTGGTGCAGCAAAGTGATAGCTGAGGTGTTTTGTTGGGCGGGCAGGGGAAGGAAGCAGCTTGCCATTTCTCATGTCGAAGTCAAATTTATCCGCGCCAACATGCTGAGCTCTGAAAAGACGTGAAGTTTTGCGGGGAAGTGAAAAGCCCCCAAGAGCTTCCATGTCAGCAGACTTCCTTCCTCCCACGGGATGTGTGCTTGTGTCATAAATCTATTCTCTTGTTTTTCCAGGAAAGCCATGTTTGCAATACATGCGCGAGTTCTCGGGGCTCGGTCCTTCGTTCTCTTCGCGTGGGCTTGCTGTTGGGTCCTCCCTTGCTCATGCTACTCTTAACCAGTAATTTGAAAGTGCTGTGCTATGCAGTCGCCCTTCTTGCTGGTGGGTGCTGCTTGTCTCTTTGAGTCTCTGTCTCCGTTTGTAGCCACCCGGACCTGGGCACGTCTCACCTGTTCTTTGTCGAGCTGTCTCGCTCCCGAACAAGTGGGCCTCCTATCTGGTTGTCTAGCTGGAGCTGTGTCCCGAACGGTGGTGTGTTATTGTTGAATATGTTGTTGTTGAACGGATAGTTGCTTTCTCTCACAGACCGAACAGCAGCACCATTTTCCTCACTCACCCAACAGAACACTTCCAACTTCCCGAGCAGATTGCTACGGCTTTCGGGTACTGTAGGAGCGAGATGAACTGACGACACCACTTACGCCGCTTGTCAGCACGTGCCAACTCTCACATTCCCCTCTCCCCTCCGTGTTTCTAAATCCGTTTTCCGACGAAAAAAAAAAAAATGACACGATCGAACGAATAAACCGGCCGCTTGGGGTAATGATGGCAGACCTCAACCGGGGAGGCCCAAGTCGACAAGACGATTACCATCAAGCCCGGCTGGAAGGATGGGACGAAGATCACCTACAAACAGGAGGGTGACGAGCAACCAGGCATGCTCCCGGCCGGTGAGTGTGTTTTTTTCCGTTTGTAGGCGTTTTTTTTCTTTGTTTTTTTCGGGCTCGATTGCAGCGAGATCGCGTGCTGCGTAGAAGGTGTGTGTCTGACCTCCGTAGGACTATTGTAGAGCGTCGTCAGAAATGCGGCTTGGTCCGTACATGTGTTAGTAGCGACTGCGCATCGATCAGCTTTTTTCATTGTGTCGTGCTTGCCTTGCGTCTTGATGTTTTCGGATTGAAAGCGTTGGGCCCCGTCGGAGGCACGCGCGCTAGGCACACCCTCCCCTCCCCTTCCCAAGTGTTTGTAGAGTCCGGCGCTGTCTGGACATACCGGGTTCATGTAGGCACGGGGTCAAAACGTTGCAGGGTACGCCATGGTGTCTTGTTCTCGTCCCTTTCGCGTGGCGCTTTACTTAGTGTGCGTCCCCCCCGTGCGTCGAAATCCGATCCCACTTGTTTCGGCCCGGCAGATATTGTTTTCGTGATCAAGACCAAGCCTCACCCCAGGTTCACGAGGAAGGATCATGACCTCTTCTGCACCGTCATCATCACGCTGGAGCAGGCGTTGACAGGTGGGTCGGTGGGTGGGTGGATGCAAACAACGGTAGTGTCGCCTGCATAATTGTGGTCAGTATACTGTGGTGCGCAGCGTGGATGGAACGAAGAACAAACAGCATGAGAACACGAACACACGCTGCGGTTTGGCGGTGGGACTCGTGTCGTTTCCTTGACCGATCGATTCAAGCGGTTTCATATAGATGTTGTTGGAAGAAATACGCGCGCACACGCGTGTACACCCCCAAACGTTCTTCTGCACTTTCTACTTTTTAAGAGTTGTTCAAAGGTGCTTGCATGTTAGCGATCAAGCCGCGCCTTGTATTCTTCGAAATGTCGGAATTTTCCTTGCGAGTAGATCTGACGTCCGTATAGCTCGTGGAAGGCGTCCGAGTGGGTCGTGGTCCAAATGCACATGGGTTTGTACCGCTGTGAGGTACAAGAGCACGCCACTTTTCCACTTTCCACAATCACCCACGTGCATTGACGAACGAACCAACCAACGGCCTAACCAAATGTAACCGACGAATCAATCGACGCACTTGCAGGCTTCACTATCCCGATCGACACCCTCGACGGTAGAAAGGTGATGGTTACGGAGCCAGGCCTCTCGACGTCCTCCCAGGAGACCGTTGTTCGGGGAGAGGGGATGCCGTCCCAGAAGGACCAACGAGTACGAGGGAACCTCACCGTCAGGTACGTTTGTGTTTGATGCTGCTTCTACGGCTCTGCGGCAAAGGCTTTGCCGAATGGAAGAACCAGCCGAAGACGATTGCGGGCGTTTTTGCATGAAAGCGGGGCAGATCTAGTCGGTGGCAGCAGCGAAGCGAGTTAGCCCCCCCCCCTTTGGGAGACGGTAGTCGTGTGGAAAAAGGCGGGCGTATTGGCGGAGGCCTGCACATCGTTTGCTATCTCGTCGGGTGTTGTTGTATGCTAAATACGGTATCGGGCTACACGGGGTAAGCCAAGAGCGCGCTGTCGGTCTGGCTTTTTACCTTGTAGCGTCGCCCTGCTCCTCGATGTTGTCCCAACAGCTGTTGCTGCCGATCACCCTCGGCACTGCTGTCTGTAGATGACTCTTTTCCCTCGAGTTCTTGAATTCTTTGGCTTATCTTTGCTGCGTCCTTGGAACGGCATCTATTAGTACCGCAGCTGTGGTCTATTATAGCGAGTCGGACACCCCCTTACAAAGAGTTTATTGGTTGCTCCGCAACCGAGAGGTCACCACTGCTGAAAAGGGCAGTTCTGAACAAGATGCGGAGATAGATTCCTTAGTCCTATTGGTCGGTTTTCGATAGCACCCTCTTGGTTGTGGGGCGATCAAGCTATGAAAGCCGGGTCGAGGTGGGTTGCGATTATCCGCACAACTACGGAAGTCCTGGTTCCTTATCCTGGCTGAAAATCCAGTTTCATCCCGCTTTGGTGTTGTTTTGTGTGCACGTCAAGCACCACCAGCACCACCAAACCCTATCTGAGTAATTCAATCTTCAAGTCGAACCCTGTCTCGCCCACCCGTTCTCCGTGATCGCTATTTGGAATCCTCTCTGGCTCGTTGTTCACCCCCCCCCCCCCCCCCCCCCCCCCCCCCCCCCCCCCCCCCCCCCC